AAAGAATATATATAAGAATAAAAATGAATTATTGAATTTAACAGAAATGCAAGGACTATTTGGAATTTTGACTTTAAAAATAATCGATAAGTCGACTAGGGGCCTTAAGAATTTTCTGATGGGGTACGTCACGCACCTTCTACGAATGATAAAACTCGAGCGTGTGTTGTCACCACGTAGCAAGACCAAATCTACAAGCAAACAGAGACCTCGAATGAAGACACTCTCTTTCCTTTTCCTTTCCTTCCCCTTTCCATGCCTCTTTCACAATGAGTCATCGAGAATTCCATGACATTTTCGAGACATCGCTGAAAAATGATATTTTCTCCTATTTATATCTATTTTTCGAAACACCAAAACATGATGTAACTGACCCCCTCCTTATTAAATTAGAAATTTTCAGCTAAATTAACATATGACTATACTTCTTTTCCAATTTACACTATAATTGAATATTCATATCATTAATTAAAGAACAAACTATTGTAAATCTATATTAAATAAAAAAAAAATATTGATTATTTGTTTGTGATATATTTTGTTCTTGATAAAACACGGATTTTTGACTTTTGAAACATTTTCTATATAGAAATATGAGAAAATATCATATAAAATAAGAGAAAATAACATAAAAGGTTGATCAGAGAGACGGAAAAAGCTTTTGCTTTAATATTCCACTACCGAGGTCTTTCTATTGTTGTACATTACCAGCACACAAGGTGGATATTCTGCACCATTGTCCGTTCAATGCCACGTTTCCATTTATTATTCGTCTTTTCCAACTTCTTCGCGCGTATAGTAATGCAAGAGTTTACAGAAATGTATATATATACATATATATAATATATATGTACCTTTAATTTCAACTCTTTCTCTCCCCTAAACTCTTTCATCAGTAGACAACAGGTAGTATTATGCTTCTTCATCCATTTTACTTTACTTTAAGCTTTTTTTTTAAGTCGTATTTAACAAGAGGTTCGTATAATTCAAAAGTATTATGAATTGAATAAAACCATACTTATCGATTTAATGCGAAAAAATTTTGATTTTATTTCGGATTATCATAAATTTTCAATGAATATTAAAGTTATACGTTTTACATTAACTCATAAGCCATTTAATTATTAGAAAAAAAACGTGTTTCCTTTTTCTACAACAACCTCGAGTACTCTTTAGCATTATGAGAATATTTCTTTTGTTCCCATTTAAAAGCCATGGGTCGGTCTTGTGTATAATAACGAGAACATTTGTCTGACATCACGGTGTTAACTAATAAAATATACAATGGGACAAGGTTACGTTGCATTAATAACGCATCATTATTATGCAACGTAAAATCGTAACTTTTTATTTTCATTTTCTTTTCTTTTTTAAGTATTTATGTTCATTTACGTATAGAAGGGGGATAAATATCAATAGAAATAAACGCAAATTTTTAATCGAAAGAAAAGGATTATAAAACAATCCTATGAATAAACATATATATATAGAGAATTTTAATCGGAAAATTCAGTTTACTCGTCCCTATTTAGTTTTGCGCGAATTGTTCAACCGATAAAATCTGTGCACGTAGACTTTAAATTCATGATCCGAATGAATTCACATCGTACGTTAATCGAAATCGAAATAATCTTTCCCCATGTAAAATAAAAAACATTATAAATTTACGTTTAGACGATTTATATTAAATAAAACGTGAAAAATTGAATATTATTGAAAACATAAAGAATAAATTTGTTATATAATCACGTTGGAAGTACATAAAAAAAATTGTATTAGTAGTAGTAGCAGAATTTTAACATAAGAAAAGAAAGGTTGAAACATTTCAACTATTTTCTACCTGAGGGCTTAGATAAAATAAAGAAAAAAAACAGATAATCCTCCGAGGATAACTCGTCGAAATTCTGAAAGAGCTTTCGCACTACACGACTCGAGTGTTGATTAGATTCGATCGATCTATCGATCGATTGATTGATCGATTAATCGATAAATCAATTGAAAGACGTAAAAGAAGAAGAAAAAAAAAAAAAGGAAATTGTAAATATCCGTCTAAACTAACTCTGAACGTTTAATATTGACTAAACGTGACGCGACGTAAAAAGAAAAAAACAACTTTCCGTTCCCATACAAAGACAAAACCCTGTGTTCTTGTAAATCCCTAACTTCGAGAACGCAAATATTTATCTTTTATACGTCATCTTAACAGGAGTGGTACGGTTTACCATCTTCGACACCCTTTTTGAACGATCTTTTTACAAGAGACAGAAAAAGTAATTACTTGAACTTACTCATCTCTGAATTATTTAATTTGATTAACAATCAAAATAAAATAAAATAAAAGAAATCAAATGTTTTCCTATTAAATATTACAATTATAAATAATCAATACTTAAAAATCGATAAGCACATGCCATTTATTGATATATCATTCAACTTGTTTTCATACGATTTCTATAAATAAAGTGTTAAATGCTAATTACATAGTTGCAAGATGGAATTTGCAAAGTCAAGGTCAGCTTTAAAAGGGTTGTAAGATAATAACGAAGTACAGGTAATCTCTTATTGGTTTTCTAATAAGTAAGTAAAGTGGTTCTTTGAAGATCTTCGCGTAATTTGTTATTTTTTTACGAGGTATCCTTATTAAGGGATCAATAATTAGGTACGGTGAGCGTTTACTAAAAGAACATTGAACTTCACGCATTCGTTGCACACGAGGTTTGAGAAAAAAAACAGTGGGAAAAATTAATAAAAGGGTATAAGATAAATGTTATTAAATGTAATAAAAATACGCGAATAGTTTTATCAAATATATACACACTGCTTTGAAATGATTTTATCTAGTTTTTTTTTCTATTATAAATATGAATATCAAACGTTATAGGAATGTCTTAATAAAACATTTCAATATATAAACAGAAATTAATAATAAATGGCTATACTTATCGATATAATTCGTAGAAATATACATGTGCATAAAAGATTAATATAAATATATACGAAATATCAATTTTAACGAGTCGTTACGAATTTTTTCTCGTTTTCTAAAGATAATCTCATTTATTCTTGATGTTATTTATTACGATACTAAAGCATAAATAATTACATGCACAATATATTGACATATACCTGATTAAGAGTAGTGGGAATGATGTCAGGAGTCTGTGGCAACATTTTGCAGCGTTTCTTTCCGTTCTCGTATTTAAATTCTCCTTCGGTCAAAATAATCTGACTATTGCACATACGTTTTTCGGTAGTAACATAATCAATTCTGTCCAATAATAATGAAAACGTGATTAAACACCTTTAGAATGTAGGAGGGTGGGAGGGGTCGGGGGAGGGGTTTAAAGAAAAAAAAAAAAAAAGACAAAATATATTCACAATATAATAGTACGTACTCACACACACACTCGGGTTCGCGTGTGTATAAGAAATTGTAATCACGTATCACGATCGAGATTTATGCAACTGTGTTTATCGATACGACAAATTAATTAATCGAATAAATTGTTGGAAAAAAAAAAAAAGAAATAAGAACGTTTTGTAATATAAATTTGATCGATGTTTTAAATAATAAATAGAGAGGCGTCTCTCTTTGAGATTCCTTGTGAATAGGATCGATTTTTTTCCAACGTCGGGAAAAAAAAAAACTGAAAACGCAAGAAATACGAGAAACAACGACACGTCAACCCGCCTCGAAGTCGTGCGCTAGACTGACGGTTCCGGGCGGTGTAGCTACGCCCGAAGACGACCGAACGTTGACGGAAATTGTCGAACGCCTACTATCAACCCCCCTCGGGGTATCCTACGCGGCATTTCTTAAATTTAATATCGACCCCGAACTGAATAATGAAACCATACAAATGTTTCCCTATGATTGACAGTTTTCTTTCCTATCTGTCGATCGAATGTACACCATTTTTTTTTTTTATTTTTTTTTTGTTATCCATTAAAATAATAAAAGAAAAAGCATTCATTCATTTTCTATGCATATCTGTATACGTATTGTACGTACATACATACATTTCTTCATATTTTATTTTTTTTAATTTATGACATGTTTTCTATGGAAATTAAATTCAGTAATCTATCGATTTTTTTTTCGGCAATTTTATACCTATATTAATTCGGTATCTAACGAAATTTATTTTGTTTTATTTTTCTGAATCGGTAGAAAATAATTACGAAAAAATAATAAGTGTTGTACGTACATACATACATACATTTCTTCATATTTTATTTTTTATAATTTATGACATATTTTTTATGGAGATTAAACTCAGTAATCTATCGATTTTTTTTCGGAAATTCGGTATCTTTTTTTCTTTTAATTCGGTATCTAACGAAATTTATGTTATTTTTCTGAATCGGTAGAAAATAATTACGAAAGAATAAGGGCTCGTTTGTATTCGCAATATAACGATCGTTGTTTCGTAGGATTCGCATAAATGTTCATGTTCAACAAATTCTCTTGCAAAATGACAAATTCCTTTCACATAATTCTCCATTTTATTTTGTTTCTACTATTTTCTTTAACAGAACACGTTCCAACCTTAAATTTAAAAGCAACCTTCTCGGAATGATGTCATCATTCGTGACGACATTGCAACGAAAAAGAGAAAGAAAAGGAAGGAAGGAAGGAAGGAAAAAAAGAAAGAAGAGATGAATAAAGGATATGAAAAGTATACGGAAGAATCAATCGATCTTCTAAATCAAAGCAGTGGCATCGTCGAATCAAGTGCAAGGCCGAACGTAAAAGGGAAGTGACGAGAACAGAGAAACAAAAGGATCCAGTTAAAAATAGTGGACCGGTCACTTCAACCGGTCCTTTCAAGGACTTCAACCCATTACATTCCTTTTTTCCTACCCCCTCCTCTTCACCCTCTATTCTTTCAAGCTCAAAAAGAAGAGAAAACTGTATTAAACTTCATACCTATATATGTTTCCCATAACACAACACAACACAATCGTTTTCGGTTTAAAAAGAAGAAGAAAAATAAATAACGATGATAATCAAAATGTATGGGAATTCTTGACTCTTGTTCCGTTATAACACCTGTTTATAATTTATCGATAAGCTAAGGCAAGGTTTTTACATCAGGGACACGGGATGAGTCAGAAAAATTCATGACGAATTCGGTTTACTAGCCATTATCAAAACTTCAATCTACGAATTTTCAGTTCAATGATGTAATATAATGGTGACCCATAAAAATATGTCTTCGTATATTTCGACGATAATTTTTCGATCGTGTCGCAATCATCGATTTATGTTAGTTATGAAGAAACGAACCTGTGAGGTGGGTCGATTAAATAAACGAGACAAACATTAATCGTAAATCATTTTATAGCTTCCGTCTTCGTGTAATTTCGTTCACGTTCGTTTCAAAGAGAATTCCTCTTTTAAAATACCGAGTTTTATTTCGAGATAGCTAGCATACGTGTTTTCACCTTGATAACGTTTATGCATTTACACAGCCGAGATTACTGCACAAGATCTTTTTTTCGTAATATTTATCAATTTATTTCTAAAGTATTTAAATTTTTGTTCAAATTGTCGATAAAACAATTCGAAATTCAAATATTCTAATAAAAACTGCTTCTCGTTTAACGTTAATTCGTCAAAATCTTATGAAATATTTTACAAGCTTTTAGTGTGTAAATAATCCGAAATTAAAATGTTTTAACAATAAGGTATCTAAAAAAGTTTTTTGTTTCACGTTAATTCGTCAAAATCTTATTAAATATTTTACAAACCTTCCGTGTTTTTCGTCTATGTCCCATATAACATAACATAATGCTGTACTGAAAAGGATCAACCTCCGGATGCACTTCTTGGACGATGCAACGACAGATGCCATTTGTTTCGTCCATTCGAGTTGAGAATTAACTCGAGCGAAAGAGAGATAACACACATTAGCAGTTACGAGTTCTTAGAAGTATCTCTTATGTTAGTACCAGTACTTAACTATTATCTTATATTACACGCCGTCAGAATTCCAACACGTGTTTGTTGGCAAAATCAATTCGATACCAATTAACTAACAAACGTATCCCCTTTGATTTTTACGAACCCCATAATCAAATTCATTTTGAATCTTTGATTTACAATCACCCTGTTTTCAAATTGATTCAAATTGAAACCTAATTTATGATTTAAATTTAAGCGAGTGTGTAAATTTTGTAAGTTGACTAAGAAGACTTCATTGTCATCATTGAAATTCCATTTTGTCGAACTCGATGACACTTTTGGATAAAGATACCGAATGCATCTTGCATCTCATGTTTACATCCCCCCTCCTACTTTTAAAAGAATGCAAGTATTCGATGTATCAACGAGAAAACTGGCGCCGTGAGAGCTTCAGACGACGACCATCCATAAAATATGTTCGTCGTCGTGCTAAAGGAAGAGGAAGAGGAAGAGGAAGAGAAAAGGGAAGATAAAAAAAAACAAAGAAGTAAGAAACTGTGACGAGGGTAAAGAAGATACCAAGGAATCTTCCCCAACTACTTGTATTTCGTAGTCACCGAGATCATTTACTTCAAAGGGGGTAGTAAAAGCAACATAGAAAAGAATGCTAAAAAATGAGGAAAAAAAATCTCAGTAGGTAAGACTTTAAATTGCAATTCTTAAAGAAAATTAAAAACTGGAAGTTTAAATAACGTGGCCAAGAAAATCAACGCGAGATGAAAAAATATAATAAGCGTTATTCGATAAAGAAAAAAAATAATCTAGACGACTAAGATATCTGACTGAAAGCTGTAATAATAATTGCAAGGGGGGGGGGAAAGGATGAACAATGGCCTTAAAGTAAAGTTACTTTAAAGATATATATTCATTCTTTCGACATTACACATTGAAAATGTTAAAAATAGATGAGAAACAGGCACGGGTCGTTTAACGCTTTGCTTTTTCTACCTCACTCTCTCTCTCTCTCTCTCTCTCTCTCGTTGAATTCCAAAGAAGAAGAATAAGAAAAGGAACACGTCATACTCGCGTATACCTACGTCAAATGATGAAGCAGAGAGAAAGAAAACGAGTGAGTACAGTACGAAAGAACAATGTAAAAAAGGTTGTGCCTTACGGTTCCACTTTGCTCTTACTCTCGAATACTTTTTCTATCCTCTTAAAAGAGGATTTCTTTTTTTCTTTTTCTATACTTTCCTCTCGTATAACACAGCTTCGTACGTATCTACCATTAATTCGCGCCACGTTTCTTTTATGTAATCGATCCGCATACCGATCCAAGTGCTTTTAGGCACGAGTGCCCACCGTATTTTCGAGTGGATATCCACTTTTTTGTTTCTAACCTATACTATATACATTATCCTCAGGATAGGGATGAGGAACCCTCTCCTGTCCTGCCTGTACACACTTTTTTTTACTTCTTAAACTTATCTTTCAACATAAACTATATCTCAATAGTGACCAATGGAACATTTTTTTCAACATTCATTACCGTTCACTGATCATAAATTGTATCCTATGTTATAATACAGCTAACTAATATTATTCATCAATTGATTTTATTCTTTAATAGTATTCTACGTAATTTATTTAAATGTGATTTATGTGGATTCTTTGAAATAATTAACGATTAAATTAAATAATAAGAAAATTAAATTTAGAAATATATGAAATCATTATTCATTGTTCTAATAGTATTCTACGTAATTTATTTAAATGTGATTTATGTAGAATCTTTGAAATAATTAACGATTAAATTAAATAATAAGGACAAGATTACAATAATCTAAATTTAGAAATATATGAAATCATTATTCATTGTTCTAATAGTATTTTACGTAATTTATTTAAATGTGATTTATGTAGAATC